AGTGGATTGGGGATAAATGGACGTTGTAACCAGAATGCTGATTTTTCAGCTATGCAGACCAGCTCAGCCCGGTATGGAGGAAGGTTGCGTCTTTGGCCTAGGCTCCGAGGTGTAGCCGCCAGCTGTCTTCGTGCAGTCCTCTAGCCAGGTCCCTCTGCCCCCCCGTACCACGAAATCTCACCTACCTGTTGTCAGTGGAGGGAGATGGGTCCATAAACTCTGTGGCAGGCGGTTTAGTTTGTCTAGAACAGGATGTTTTTTGTCAGTACCATCCACACCGGCGCTCTCCTGCTGTAAAGCTCCTTGCTCAGCCCTGCTTCCCCTACCAAGCCAGATCCACAACGTTGTTATCTGCCTGGGGGAAGGGGTCTGGGAATTCTGTTGCGGGCCTCGMTGCAAATGATTGATCAACCTTCGTCCAGTCACAGTACTTCCGTTGGATCCCCCACGGCATAGAGGCATCCCCATCTGCTTCTGCTCTCTCTTAGGACCCTGGGTTATTCAGCCATTCCGGCCCATTCGTAAGAGAATTCATTGATTTTTTTTTTTTCCCTTTTTTCCCGCGTCATCTAACAATTTGTATGAGTGTAAAATTTAATCTAGTAGTCTGACCAGTTCCAAGGCCACTTTGTGCGCCTCACCATCTACATATTCTGTCCCAGCATCTCCACAGCGGCATCAYCGACCTTGGGCATGAGAGGAAGAGTTGTTCCTGTGTCTCCCTGATCTCTTGCGATGGGAAGGCTGCCTTGCAGCGGACCGACTACTGTGGGTGTATTTCAACCTTACATGATGGTCGAAGACGCGCGCAAGTGAGTAAAAGATGCGCAGTGAGTGAAAGAAATAAAGTTCTGCAGAGGGCGAAGGTATTGCTTTTCCTAGAAGAAGCGCCCTGCAAAATCAGTTGGTCAGTGACATCGAGTCTATTCAGTACGGAACAGGAATAGTCCCCTGGATCAGGAACTGCGACAGTCCTAAGATAGTATGATAGTCATGCCCCTCATGGGATGCAATAAACGCCATCAGACATTAGGGACCGTGGATTCCCAGGCGACCAGGTACCGCACGCTATACAGCGGAAGCTGTAATTGTCTTTAAGTTTCTTATTTTTATTTTTATTTTTTTTCACTTCTTTCTCTTTATCGAGATTTAGTTGTTACAAAGGGGAGGGCTCCGATCTGATAGTGGGGACTCTGGGGAGCAGCACCTGGTAGAAATGCCATCAAGTGACACTTTGGCAAAAGCAGCTATTCGGCGGCAATTCCGGTCCCATAGCAATCGCGGAGCTCGAGAATCGGCAAGGGGCAACGATGACGGTGTGCACTTGCGCGTTGCAGTGGAGAGGGCAGACAATGCCACATTAACAGCAGCAGAGAAACGTAGGCTATCTGAGTGCTCGAAAGGTAACAGAAAGACACTGAACGGTCMATGTGCAGTGTTGAGATTGTTTTGCTGTTTCGATAAATGAACGGTCACTCTCAGTTCCCAGGCAAGCAAACAAAACCGCAAAAACGAAAGAGAAAACAGTGAAAAACGTACTCTCGGCATTTTCCAGCAGGTATATGACTGTAGTTGGCCGCCGACATAAGTGAAAGACATCGCTCTGTGCGTGTGCGTTCAACAGGAAGTCGACAACGACGACGACGACGACGAAGAAGAAGAAGCAGACACAAGGCGATAGACGAGACGCAGAAATGACAGGCAGTGCAAGTTATTCTTCTTTTCCTTCTACGTCT